TCGCAAGGACAAGGACAAGGACATGGACCACAATCTCAAGCAGAAGGATTTGAGGACAAGAAGTCTAGACTGCTAGAAGGGTTTATAATTTATATGAGCTTCCTGTTCGTAAAAGACCTCCAATTTCCTCAATAGCTCCAGGCATTTTTAAGGCTGCAAATGTGGAGAATAAGACAGCTCTTTTTGGCATGCTCGACTTGCACATACAAATGTGCGTATTTTAAAATCCATCAAGTCACAGAACTTGGTGGATGGATTGGATGATCTACTCTTGGAAGCAAAACATATTTGTCATGGTTGTCAACTTAGCAAACATGCATAGAGTTCTTTTTTTCGTTCATCTTGATGTACCAAGCAACCTTTGGAGCTCGTGCATCCAAATCTTTGTGGTCTTATGCAAGTTTAGTCACTCTCAGGGAAGTTTTACTTCATGACTATGATCGACAACTTCACTGGAAGGTGCATGATTTTCTGTTTGAGCAAGAAAAGTGATGCTTTTGCAGCTTTCAAGATCTTTCTTGAGCAATCTAAGAGGTAACTGGATAGAAGATTGAAGATATTGCGCTTAGACTCAAGAGGAGAGTACACATCAAATGAATTCAAGGTATTTTGTCTTGAAAGAGGCATTTGGCAAGAGTTCACATGTACAACTACACCACAACAAAATGGAGTAGCAGAACGAAAAAACAAAACAATCATAAATGCAGCGAGATCCATGATGAAAGTAGTTGGTCTTCCCAACTTTGTTTGGCAAGAAGTTGTCCAAGTAGCAATTCATGTCCAGAATAGAATCCCTTTAGCTAGAAAAAGGGATGTCATTCCAGAGGTAGGTCATTGACAAAGCATAGCAAGCATGAGAGTTTTTGGCTCATTGCTTATGCTAAAGTTCTCGATGATGGTTTGAAGAAGCTTGATGACAAAAGTGTCTTTAGTTTTCTTGTTGGATAAGATGGACAGAAGAAGGGTTATCACATCTATCTCCCAAACTAGCATAAGGTGATTGTATCACGAGATGTCATGTTTGATGAAGGCATTTTATACAAAGATCATCATTTTGCAAAGTCTCAACAGACCTGAAAGAGGCTACAATAGCTTATAGAGTGGACAACCATGACCTCCTTCTTGATGACTTTCATTACTCCCAAGTTAAAGATTTTGAGCAAAATCAAGAAGTTCAAGAGCCTCTAGCAGTAGCTCAAGTTGAAGAACCTCCATAATACCATCAAAAGAGGCTAGAATCTAAGAGGTTGATAGTTGAGCTGAATTTTGACACATAAAATAGAGGAAGGATGAATCTGGAAGAACACTGCAACCTCCTAGACCAAAAATCTTGAGCATTCATGTGCCAAGCACATACCAGGAAGCTATCTTAGGACCAGATGTAGAGAAGTGGATCCAGGCCATGAAGGAAGAACTTGACACTCACAATCAAAATAGCACTTTCAAGTTGTGTAAAGCTCCACCTAGAAGAAAGATCATTAAGAGGAAATGGGTGTATAAGGTCTCTGCTCATTAGTTGTGAAGGTGGCAAGTTTGCAGACACTAAAAGTTTTTGCTGCTAAGTTTTGTTTGCATGTTCATTACATGGACATCAAGACAGCTTTTCTAAATGCCACTTTGAACGAGGAGATCTTCATGCATGAACCAGAAGGTTTTGAGACAGGTCCTGACTTTGTTTGGGAGCTAAGAAAATCCATCTATGGGCTAAACAGGCAGATAATTTCTTGCGGTAGAAAGGTTTCCAAAAGCTCAACTCAAATGGAAACCTTTATTGGAAGCAGGAAGGAATAGATTTTTTGGTCATGGCAGTGTATGTCAATGACTGTTTGCTTGTTAGCAATGCAGAAGAGTACCTTAAAAAGGTCAAGCAGATTTTGATGCAGCAGTATAGGATGACAGATCTTGGGAAGGTCTAGAAAATCCTTGGTATAGAAGTTCATCAAAGTCCAGATCGTTTCCACATTGCAATCATACAGTGTGTACAGGTTGATAAGATACTTCATGAACACTTGGCTCCAACACCAATGGTCTTTGGTACAATATTCTCTCAATGTTCTGAGCTTGAGGTACTTCAAGATATCAGACCATACCAAAAACTTGTTGGCAGCCTCTTATATATCTCCACCTGCACATGGCCTGACATTGCTTTTGCAGTTGGAGTACTTAGTCGCTACACCTCTTATCTGACACAGAAACACATGAAGGCAGCCAAACGATATCTCAAAAGGACTAAGCAGTTTGGTTTAGTCTATGAAAGAGACAACAGCTCTACACTCAAACTCATTGCATACTCGGATGCAGATTGGGCAGGTGATGTGGATACTAGGCAATCAACATCTGGAGTATGTTGTCTACTTTCTGGGGCAGCAGTGAACTGGCTGAGTAAAAAGCAAATTGTGGTGGCTCTTTCCAGTGTAGAAGCAGAGTATGTGGCTCTTTCCAGTGTAGAAGAAGAGTATGTAGCAGCTTCAACAGCAGCAAAGGAGATAGTATGGCTAAGGCTTATCATAACACGTTAAAAAACGCCGTTCTAAACTCCCAACGCATTTGCACTATTTGTGAAAAGAGACAAAGGTTTCTTTAGGGTTTCTTCAGGGTTCTTGTGGTCATGACAGGAATTGGAGGATGCCGTGAATGCTTGAGCTGAAAGCATGTGATACGAGCAGAGCGGCAGTAGACATGTAAGTATTGTCATGAGATTCACACTGGGGGAGCGGACCGAGTGCGAGCACATCTCACTAGAGTTCGGGCAAGAGGTGTGAAAACGTGCAAGGCAATGAGGGAGATCCCTTATGAGGTTCTTAAAAAAGCTCGCAGCAGTTTTTCTGATTCCGAGTTAGCAGACCCAGCAGATGCCGATGATCATCTGCTGCAGCAAGCCGCACAGGGTTCAAGAGCAGAATTTATAGTGGCAAGCACGGAGAACTTAATATCAGATTAAAGTGTATTTAGTAAATATTAGTGTTTTCTTAATCATTTTAGGCTTTAACATGTAAACGTTGGATTGTCCTGAAAAAAACGTTTTAAACGGCGTTTAAACATTGACACGTTGGAACGTTTGCACGTCTAGCTGCAACTATGAGGCTTATGCTACAAGAACTTGGACAGGAGCAAAAGGATGCCACTCCACTTTTTACAGACAACAGAAGCTGCATTGCCATCTCAAAAAAATCCAGTGTTTCATGGGCAGACAAAGCATATAGAGATCCAATATCATTTTGTTCGTGGCCAAGTCGAGAAAAGACAAGTGACCCTGGCGTATATTCCAACAAGGCAGCAAACAGCAGACATCTTTATGAAGGCATTGGGTGAGGCACAGTTTTTTCACCTCAGGAGAAAACTGGGAGTACATGAAGCAGATCAAGGAGGGCATGTGGAAGGTAGCAGTTGGTGATTTGCTCAGGTCCTCAGGAATCACGCACCAATCAGTCAGGAATAGTCTGTATATAAAGTGTGATTGACGTGTGAATGGCAACTTATTTTCTCTTCAAGTTGGCAAGCTAGCTGTGGAGTTTGAGGTTTCCCCCCATTGCGTCTTTGCTTTCCTAAAGCTGCCCTGGAATAAGAAGCTCAAAAGATGAAAACATGCCCGCAAGCAGCTCAATCGCGGTTAAGGCTGAGAAGGTGAATCCCGGTCCTCGAACACGTTCGTATTGCCTGGGACGATTATCTTAGGAGGATTTTGCTGTGCTCCAGAAGGTGAAGGAGGAGCAATCATCCCCAATCCTCAAAGAAGCAGTTGCAATCCATCCAATTCTGAACATACATCACACAGACACATTGCATCGATTGAAACACAACTTCTCATTTATTTAATAAACATGGGCAGCATTTCATTCTGAACATTTTATAATGAAGCTGAGAATGGAAGCCCCGTCCTCACATGTTTCTTGGGGATGTACCTCCACAATCTGGTGGATTCCCAAATCTTATAACCTTCAAACTTCTTCTAATGTCTGGCATTGACCACAATTACAATATGTATCAATTTGTTCATCACAATCTGATACAACATGCGCAGTGATGGTCACACTCCCAGTATCCAATGCAATCACAACTGTGATGAATGGGATCACATATACGCTAACCTTGAGCACTCCAGCCATATTAATTGCTTGCCAGTGATCCAAAGTTTTGGTCTTATATAGCTCAACTTAAAGCTTCCTGCATGCAACTCGTGGGATGATTGTTAATGGGTGGTATTTGTGCACGATGTTTTTGAGTATAAGTGAAGCAGCTTGTCTTCCTCTACATTCCATTTATTCTTGCACCGATTTTTAGGAGTTGTGAACAGTTTAGCGTAATTACAAGAATATAATCCTCAGAAATTATTTCGACATGTGTATATACCTTGCTTTGGCGGGACTTGTGAAAGAAACAAGAAGAGCTAGGCAACGTCCTGGTCCCTAGAGAAGAGAACTCCAAGTGCAAGAGCTCCAGAGCCTTGGATTATCGTCAGTGAATCGTCGAGATTGACGAATATGCCCATCGCTTTGCTAGCGCATTTCTAACAAAAATGCTTAAACCCTAGCGTTTTTCTAGGGCTTAACAGCCCTAGTCTTTCTATGGGAAGTATGAAGTTTTCAAAGGAATGGGGACACTGACGTGGACAACGATCACATCAGGCTATGATGTTCTCTCCCGCCTCGCGAGGCGCTCGGGCATGGCGCGGATTCGCCAGCGGCTGCGCTGGGATCTGGCCTCCACAAGCGCCGCCGATGCCGACGCCTTCTCCTGCCTCCAAGCATTTCAGGTATGGATTTTCGAGGCTCTCTCGAGAAATGTAGGCGATGGCCGTGTGCTTTCGTCGTAGGATGGCTCCCATTTTGAAGAGTGGAGGCAAGAAATCCAGCGCCGACGGCTGTGACCCTGTCTTTGTGTGCGATTTTCCTCATCAGCTTAGAGCTGCTGTTAGGGAGGCAGCTCCTTCACATCGCTCAGGCAAGTCGATCGATCAGTGCTTTCTAAGAAAAGACCGATTTCTGTTTTCCTTTTCAGAGGGAATGGATGGCGGAAGTGGTCTCTCTTGGATGCTCCACAGGACCAAGATCTTCCTGTGAAGCCATTTGCGCAACCAGGCGTCGTCAGAGTGTAAGATTCTCAACGTCCCACCACAGCTTTGCACGGAAGGCGATGGTCAGAGTATTGATTCCAGACATGGAAGTAGCTGGCTCGTCCGGATTGTGAATCGTGGGAAGGAGTCTAGTCTCGTGAAAGGTCGCGTTTCAGCTAGCCTCGTTCTATGCAGTCAGAAGAGCTTGACGGTGGTTTACTGGCCGGATATTTTCAGGGACACAGAAATCTTGCCTGTGGTGGCTATGCCGGATGACAAGCTTCTTCAGATAGATGACAGATATGGTGGAGCTCCCGGACGGAGGTCTGCTTCGTCGTCGTATGGTCCTCGAGCAGATACAGCCGGTGAAGTCACTCATCGCCACAGGACTTAGAAACCTGGAATGCGTAGCCATCGCCAGCTGCTTGGGGAACTTATGGAGGTTCGACTGCTCCGTGTCTGGGATTTCCTGGCGGTCTGTAAATGCTGAGGTTCGTGGGGAGAGCGACAACTTTGGGCCTTTCGATTTCAACAACAGTGGCATAGTCCGTTCCCTCGTGTGGTGGTCACGGGAGGAGCTTTTACTGCTGACTCCCAGGGGGATCGAGTGCTGGGACGTGCAGTTAGTGAAAGGTGGTCAGCTCTCAAAGGCCTGGGCTTACGATATCTCCGAAGACGCGGAGGTTTTAAAGGATCTAACGAGTCAGAAACAAGTGTGGCTTCTCGATTTGCAAGTTACTGCGGAGAAGAACCTGACGGTGCTAGCGGCATCTTTATCCAAGGATCGAGTCACGAGCTCCAGTTACATGCAGTACTTCATGCTCACTTTAGCTCCAGCACGAGTTATCTTACCGAAGGCTCGAGTAGAGGTGGAGGAGTTCTGTATTCGATGCAGCTCCGAGTTGGTGGAAAGCCTGCCGGTTCAGCCATGGTTCTTGCAGGTGATGGCACCGCAACGATCTCTCATTACTTACACGGCGTTGGTCGGCTATACCAGTTCGATCTTGCATGGGATGCCGGCAGAGTTTTAGACGCTTCTGTGGTACCTTCGGTGGATGACAGCGACGAAGGCGCTTAGCTTGTTTTGACCGAGAAAGCAGGAGTGTGGGGGATTCCTGAAAGAGCTGTGCTGCTTGGTGCTGTTGAGCCACCGGAAAGGAGCCTCTCGCGGAAAGGCAGTGCTAAAGACGAGTCCGTCAAGGAGCAGAGGCGACGATTAGCAGTCGAAAGCACGGATGGTGTGGGAAAAGTCCTGACAAGGAATTCCACTCAACGTCTTCTCCAAGATGAAGAAGCAGAGGCAACAGTCGGTCAGCAATTTCAACATTATCTGACTACTCGGCAAGTGATCGCGGTCTTTGAGAAGCTACAGAAGACCGGAGCATTCGATGACGAAGGCGAAATGAATATTTTCGCTCGCTTCAGCAAGTCAATTGTCGATACAATAGCCAAGCATTGGGCTTCGGGTGGAGCTGGAGGTGCAGCCACGATGGCCATTACTTCGCAACTTACTGAGAAATAAAAGCGCCATCAACAGTATCTGAATTTTCTCGCAGCTTCTAAATGTCATGAGGTCCTTCGGCACCAACGAAGTAAGTCCGTGTATTAAGTTTCTCTCTCCGTTTTTGGCTGCTGAACAACGTCTTGACCAGGGAGTAGTCTGCACACGATCCTGGAGCATGGTGAGAAACTTGCTGCGTTGCTAAAGATCAAGGACACGTACAACTCTCGAGCTCCTGGCCAGAGCCGTGGTGAAGCAGAAGAAGCTGAGATTACTGGAGCTCTCTGGGATACAATTCAGCTAGTCGGAGAGAAAGCTCGCAGGAAGAATGTGAAGGAAAAGATGGAGGTGTTTCTTACGCGGGGATCAGACATAGAAGAGCTTTTCGGTTGCATCAATGAACACAGTCAAGCTATAATCGGGCAGGAGATGTCACTGAAGTCACAAACCGAACGCTTATGCGAGGTTGCCGACGCCTGCTCCTCTGCTGTTAGAGCTGGCATTCAGTACAGAGATACACAACAGACATGGTATCCGTCGCCAGAGGGCTTGACGCCCTGGTAAACAGTGCGTTCCCGATTATGGCGACTGGCGACTCATCTTATGGACGTCCAGTCAAAGGAAAAGGTGATGGTATCTCTTGCTGATATAGCCGATGTTCTTCTCGAAGGCTATGCCGGTGCTATTTTGGCCAAGATAGAGCGCGACGAGGAGTACCGAGGCTTGCAACTCGAGTACTGGAGCAGACGTCATAGCCTTCTACTGACTCTTTAACAGCATGAAAGAGAAGCAGCCGAACTGGCTTCTCAGGTAAAGATCAGTTGTGTGACATACATGGCTCTAACTAACGTCGTATTTGGTGTGTAGCACGCTGAAAGCGCCGACGCGGGGGAGCAGAAACGGCTGGAAGTGCTGCGAGATCGGTATTCGTCGCTTTTGGCCGTCATGCAGGCTATCAGACACTTTGGGAAATATGCATCGATCTCAATGACATGGATTGCCTGCCCAAACTTATGGTGAGTGCCTGCTTTTACTGTTCACATCACCTGACGTACGAGCTGCTATAACTGTGTTGGGAGAAGAGTTTGCAGAAGACCTTGCGTCCTTTCTTCGGGACAAGAAATCTCTTTCCTGGCTCCATGATTTCTTCCTCAAGAGATTCACTGCTGCGTCAGATACCATCCATCACTTGGCTCTCTCGAGCAGCGACTTGAATATCCCGATCATTCAGGACGAAAAACCGACGTCCGGTTTTACTCTATCTGCCCGACGAAAGCTTTTATATCTGGCAGAACTGTCGGCACTTGCAGGTATGTAGCACTGTCACAAGCTTTCCGAACGTGATTATGTGTGTCCGTACTTTCAGGCTGGAAGCGTGGAGCTGTTGACAAGTCGATTCAGATCGAAGCAGATCTTGGAATTTTCGCTGTTCAGGTCTGTCTACAACCAACTTGTTTACGTTTCCTTGAATTCTTTTCCACTGGGACAGGAAGCTGCTGCTGAGTTGGGGATTGCAACTTCTACCGAAGTTCTGTCACCGCTGCAGCTCGTCGAAGCGTGCCTGAACAGTGGCCACAAGGAACTGGTTCTACGTTCTCTGGAGGTTTTCGCGCTGTCGGGAATTTTTTCAGAAGAGGGAACAAGAGCCTTTTGGAGGCCGCATGGCTGAAGCTTGCTGATCAAGACGACTGGCTGAAAATGAGGCAGCTCTCGGACGAGGAATGCTGGAATGACCAACAGCAGTACGAAGCTCTCAAGGCAACTGCCCTCTACGCAACGTCAAAGTACTGTTACGGGGGCTCGGCGTTTGTAATTGGCACACCGTTCGAGGAGACTCTACCACTTTTTCGAGAGATCGACGCCAGCAGTCGAAGGGCCGAGCCAGACAGTGCAAGCTCGGTGAATGAGGTGCTGGCGGAGCACGAGGACTTTCCGGAAGCAGGGGAAGCCATGGTGATGGCGCTGAGGATGGGGAAAGGACTGGAGCTTGTAGCTGAGGAGGACAACAGCATGGAAATGTGATAACGTCCTCGGGGAACTTGCCACCGGTCATCTTTGAGACAACTTTGAAGCGAACTTTCCTCGATAAACAACAAGCGTCGACGAATTTTCCTGCTCACCAGCTCTCACCTAGGATCACCGCAGGCCCAGGCCAGAAAATCCATGCGTCGTCGGCCCAAACCTCTCTGTCTCTCATCTTTGTATTGACACCATGAGATTCCATGGCTGGATAATACCCTCCTGCTTATGAATAGACAATCTTGTGATGAGCAGTGCAGAGATTATCATTATCATGGCCAGGATTTTGCTTGTTGCACGACAAGTTCCCATTCCCAAGCCTCCTTCAGGCAAGCAGTCGCAATCCATCCAACCTATACAATGGAAGATCTGGAAGATGAAGTGGTAATGGATAAATTTCTCTATGGCTAAGTCCAGATGTTGAAGCTTTGCCTCTCATTTATTTAATAACATCATACAGCATCTCGTGCCTATCCACCAATTTCTCACAACATTGTCAACAGCGTGAGTCTATAGAAGCTCAGAATGGGACCACATGTTTCATTGTCTTGAGTTATAAATGAGTTGACAAGCTGGTGGTGTGGATTTTCATCATAGTCAATCTTGTAACCTTACTGCTATAGTCCCAGGAATGATCACAAGTAGTGTAGGTATCAATTGTTATGACACAACCTGGTGCAGCATGTAGTAGGATGGTACAATTTTGCAATTATAACTTACCTTTAGTAATGAACTTGTTATTGTAGGACATATCAACAAAACAAAATTATGCTTTGTGAGTGCATAGAATATGGAAAGGGAATATAAAAAATGTGTATATCAATTAACCCAAAAACTTTAGTTTATATACAAGAGCGAGTGGTCCAAATTGAAATTAATCTGATGGTTACTAAAATCCCACTATGCTAATATTAGTATACAGCATTATAATCATACACTTAGACCTTATATCATCCACTCCTCTCAGAATAATAAAAGACTATTAAGATTCTCTCATAAATGGGCTGGGATCTGGAGGAACATTAGGAAGAAGCATCGATGGATTTGTAGATGGTATTAGTTATTCTTGATCCCTTTGTACGAAATATTTTAACTGCTACACATGCATAATTTCTAGAGGATCTGTTTTCTAGACGTCTTGCCGAACCTTATAAACTTATAATTTAACTTGCCGCAACATCCATTACAATCCTTTCCACTGAGCAAGAAGCCCTTTAAATAAACTACATACCATAAGATGGGGAAAACAAACTAACCCCAAATCATCCACATTGTATTCTACAAGTGGACAATGATGGGAGTTGTAATATTGTTGTTGTCCCACTTGTATACAACTTAGATGTTCAGTAAACTTTACTTGAACAAGTGAAAGAATGCTCATCAAACACTAATCCCAACTTCAACATCTCTTGGTAATTGCAAAGGTAAACCCAACTCTATTAGTAATATTGGATCATGACCATATAAAAATTTATATGGTGAAGCACCAATAAAACCTTGCACCTTTGTGACATGCATATCGAAGAGACAGCAAATAACCATCTTAATCCAAATGTTGAAAATTCACGTACTTCTTGATTATCCTTTTGAATGTCTGAACAAGCCGTTCCACCAAACTGTTTGACTATAGATGATGAGCACTCATGAAAGTGTGGTGTATCCTCAAGCGAAACATTAAAACATAAAATACTTTAGCCATAAATGCGGGACCATTGTCAAAAGAATCCATTCTAGACAAGAATGCTGGAACACTACTTAATTGAGGAGGAAATATCTAACAGTAGTTGTAAAGGCATTAACAAGAGCACTAACTTCCACCTAGCGAGTCAAGTAATCAAAAGCAATAATAACATATTCATTGCCAAGTCGATTGTGGAAAAGGTCCCATAAGATCAAATACCACTAACTCAAACGGATGGGAAATTATAATTGACTCCAACTGTTCTTCTGCAACACGAAGGGGAGTATTACAAACTTGGCACCAAACGCAACTACACACATATTAGATAGCATCACGTCATATCTCCGGCCAATAGAAAAACTTGTGCAACTTCTTGGTCATACGATAATGTCTCATATGCCCGCTTAAAATAGGAAAATCATGGTAGGTATAGAAAAACTGTGGAATAAAGAGTGAAGGTACCACTAGCCATAAATGATCATTAGGATCCGTCCCTACAAAATAAAAAAAGCTGTCTTCAAAGTGATATTGAGAATGTAAATGCCAGAATGGCAAGTCATCAGCAAGTGATGTAGGATTCTCAAACCCATCACAAAGCTTTCGAATCCATAGCTTAATTTTTTTAGCTTCATGAACCTCATCAAGAGAAGATAAATCTTGCTTTACACCTTATGAACATTAAACATCAAGTACAGCAACCGCCAACGGCACAAAATCCTTGTTTAGAAAATCTATAAATGCTAGAACAAAAAGCTCATCAGAAACATAAGAAGAGAGCAAAGAAGAAAGAGGGCTTAAGAAAGGGCATTAGCATCAGCCATAGAACTCCCTAGGCGATGAATAACATTAAAATCATATATCTAAAGTTTCAAAGCTCACCAAGTAGTATGACCAACCAAGTTCTTCTACTTCAATAATGAAGTAACAACAGCATGATCACCTTCCAGTAATGTCTGAGAACCATATAAATATGCATAAAGTTTCTCAAAATTCTAAATTGTTGCTAAGCACTCCTTCTTTGTCATAGAGTAGTTTGCCTCTGTAATGTATGGCTTATATATGCAATGGGATGGTGCTGACTAGGCACACTCGGGCTCTCTTGCATCAGCACACCTCCAAGACTAATATCAAAAGCATCCATGCGTAAAATGAAAGATCGAGTGTAGTGAGGATACACCAAAACGAGAGGAGTCGTCAATAGCTCTCTGAGATCTATGAACACCCGCTCACAATCCACAGACCAGATGATAGATGATGTTGATGACTTCAACAACACTCGCAATTGTGCAATACGATCAAAAAGATGATCCATAAAACGACCAAGATATTACACTTTGCCCAAGAAGCATTGTACATCATTCACACACTTCGAAGTAGGGAATTTTAAAACAACCACAAGTTTGTTAGGATCATGCAAACCCTCACAAGAAATATAGTACCCAAGATAAGTCGTGTCTTTAGACTCAAAAATACACTTCGACTGCTTCAACTTTAAACCAACTTCCCATAGCCCATGTCCCCTCAAAGTGGATCAAGACATCATCAATGAAGTTAATAGTCACCTCTGGCATATTGTAAAGAACTTCATCCATCATCTACTGAAAAGTTGCTAAAGCATTATTTAAACCAAATAGCATCACCAATAACTCGTACAAACCAAATAGTATATGAAAAGCAACCTTATGAATATCTTCTTCGACCATCGATACTTGTCAATACTCAGAAGCAAAATCTAACTTAGTGAACTAAGACTTTTCCCTAGATGATCCAAGATATCAGTAGTGTGAGGAAGAGGGTACACATTTAGAATCACCATTTCGTTTAATGAATGATAGTCGATGCAAATTCGAATACTCCCATCAGGCTTCATCATAAGATAAGGTTCACATGCCCAAGGACTCTATGATTTGTGAATAACACCCTTTTTCAACATCTCTTTGACGTTTGTATGTCAAATCTTGATCTCTTTAGGTGACTAAAGATGAATAGGAACCTTGAATGGACGAGCATCCCCGGTTGGAATTGGATGACATGTGGCAATTTTAGCCCCAGACGATAAGTTAAATTCAAAGAGATCGGCATACTCCTTCATGAGCCAGTCAATTGGAGGGATTGGAAAAGGGAAAAGCAGAACAAAATGGAAATATATGAGGTCAAAAGCTTGACTCGGCACCACTTGCAATGACTGCAACCTAAGCTCGAAATCGCCTACATGCACAACTAGGTTTGCCTCATCCCATGCACATATATAACCATTGCCATAAAGAATGAAAATTGGTTCTGCCGCATGATGCAAATGTAAACAACAATATATGGCAAAAGATAAACTCAAATCTATATCAACCAACATTGAGAGGATAATAGGAGGCCTTTTATTATAAAGATGAGCTTGAAAAGGAAACACTGGATGAACTGGTGCCGAGTAAACCCCTTGATGATACTTTTGAAAGAAAGATGAAGAGATCATTGACTTATTCATGCAAGGTCCTTTTATTACTTGTGCAACTCCTCATTTCCCAAATGCATCTCAGTGTTCAAACCTTCCACTGTAGTAGCACCAATAGGACATTGTGGATGAAAAAGTCTCCACCCAAGAAATGGAGGCTACCAATCCGGAAAACGCCAACAATGTCGATAAGTGTGACCAACTTAATCACATGCTTAGTAGTGAACATCATGGCCACAACCATGTCCTCACCCTTATTAAACTCAAGTAGTAGCATCATCAACCTCCATTGGAACAAAACCATCTCCCACAGAAAGTGGAGCTCAAGGACATGCAACAAGAAGTAGAAGAGGCAATGTCTCATAACATTGTGCCAAGCGAAGAGCATTGTTAAAGATGGCTAGAGCAAATGCATGCACAAGTCCTACAAGATTTTGACGAAGTGTTGGCCATAACATTCTCAACTTCATCCACTCTGATATATTTAGTTCCACATAAAGCAAGAGGCTTTGGAAACAAATGCCAAATTACATCACCAACTCAGATGGCCTTTGATGAAAACAATTGTTGAAAGGCATCATCACAATCATCGGTGTGTCTGAATGTGAATGCATGTTTGAAGACATTTGGGAGAATACCTCACGAGTGGCTGCACTCAAACCATTGTACCGCTGTAATGCTGTCCCTTGAAGACACGTGAGTAACTCAAGTAAACATTGAGCATCATCCCAAGAATTATATGTAACAATCACAATAAAGTGACTAAACCAATAGTACATATCATCCCTTAAGATTCTCATAAAAGAACTCCGGCTGAATGCAGGGATTGCCACCAAGAGTAGGAGGAGTTTTACCACATACCATAAATGTTACCATCAACTAAGTTTGATTGTTCAAATACAATCACATAGCATTAAGCAATTACACCAATTGCTACTCCAAAGTTAAAGAAGGAGGAGATTGTTACTCTACTATAAAGATGAATGAAAAAGGAAAGAGCAAAAGAAAAGAAATGAATAAAGCTAGAAGATCTAGACAATATAAAAGCTAGATTTAAATTAAAATCCCAAAAGGAAAGAACAAAAGAAAGGAAATGGAAAAAGCTAGATCTAAATGATGCAAAAACTAGATCTAAACCAAAATTTGAAATCAAA